CCTGAGTAGGAGTGCAGAGCTCCTCTGTGGAAATCTGGAGTAGGGGATTCAGGGAGGAATTGATAGGTTTGCAAGGTTTTAAATCCCAAATGCCTCAAGTGCAACTGAAGATACTTCTGGGCATTACACTTTCTGTCCACACCAGTAGCAGACCATGTGGCAGCCTCTGGTTCTTTCCATAGGTCTGTAGGAATCTATAGGAATCCTTTCCAATCTATAGGAATATAGATTGATGGGACATGAATCATAGGTCATTTAGGCAAAGGTCTTTTAAAAGATGGGATGGATACTTAAATCTCACTAACCCCCAAATGTGCATCTACTATTACATCAGATCGTTCTTCACGATTACTCACGACCGTGGATTTTTTTTATTGCTTCTGTCATATCCTCTTACAACTGTATCCGCTAGAAGCAGGTTAGAACAGGCATGACAACTTAGAATTAGTTTCCAGGAACAATAGGGCTGCTGGAAATCCCTCAAAAGAGTCCCACGGAAAAGGTATTCTGTCGGGTAGAGATAGGGGATAGGAAAAATCACCCAGTCAGGAGATCTGTGACAGCTACTTCAATGCTTTCTATCTGAGGAGGAAAGCAGGCTGCACACACTTTCATAAATATTAAATAATTAAAATGAAATAAGGCAAAGGTCTTTCACAAGTATGTCCTATTATTTCACGTTTCACACTTCTAATGCAATTTTTGCTGTGTTTGAATCTACTCACCTTCCTCAGGATATAAATCGCAGTTAATCCTCCTGCCAAGCTTTTTGCTTATCTCCTTTTGTTTTCTCTCTGTGTGTGAAGTTAAACACACCATTTTCCTCTACTGGAAATTGCTCAGAGATTTATTGCTTACCTGCTTCCTTATTGCCTATTTATTCCCCTTTCAGCCATAGTATTGGAGTGGCCACCTACACAGTGCCATAAAGAGGACAAAAGAAACCACAGATTTGCATAAAATTTTTATATTCCAGTTAATCAGTTGGATCTAGACTTGGTATCTATCTATCAGTAGATAGATTTGGAAACTATCAAAATCAATTTGATATAGCTATATAGATTTGGTATCTATATTTAAAGGAGACCAGCTGAAATGAAATAGTTAAATTATGGCTTATGACTAATGGGTCAGGATAAAAATCTAACAAATAAATAAACTTAAGTCCCATTTATTTTTAATGGCTCTACTCTAAATGGGACTAAATCAGGATCAAATTCATTATGTATAGATGCCAATTCACAAAATAATGATTATAATTTCCAGAGAAATTCAGAGTACTTCCCTATAGCAACTTGTGTGCTCAGAAGTTACCTGAGCACCTGCTCTATCTACTGGCCAGACACAAAGTGCTGATTGGCAACTTCGAGGTCTCTGATCTGCCTCTCCCTTCCTCTGGTTCTCAAAGGACTTGGTCTAGAGAACCCTTCAAACAGAAGACAGCCTCAAATGGAGGACTGCCATCTGTAAAATAAGACACTTGGCCATCCCAGATTGCAGAGGAAAAAATGCAAGTAGCCTGCCCAGAAGTTCCTAGTGAGGACCGCTTCTTGGCAGAAGCTGTCTATAAAATACTTGCCTCTTTCCACTTGCAGGTCAATAATAAGATGGCGTAAGGCCAGAACAGTGATTAGGGCAGGATTCCTCAGGGACTGCCTTCCCCTATATAATCCGGTCCAGCACGAGCTCTCCTCACGTGAAGCAAAAGGGCATGCATAGCTGTGGCACCTTCCCTCCCTGCCCCCGTTCCGCAACCATCTTTCCCTGAAGCCGCTAGCCCAGAGTCCGCTGCTACCATGCCGGGGCCAATTTAAGCAAGGAGAAAGGCAAGGTTGCACCACCCTCTTGACTCCGGTCTCCTGCAGGTTCTTGGCATTACAAGATGCTGGCCATGTGCTGAGGCTTCACAAAGGCCCTGGATCCCCACAGCACCAGAGGGTGGCAGCTCCCCTGAAGGGCCATGACAGGCAGGAAGGCACTGGGGAAGGCTCCAGAGAGCACCTGCCGGAGAGGGCAGTGGGCCTTCTGGGCTGGGGCTGGGCAAGTAGCATAATCGGCCTCTCCTTCAGCTCCGCCTCCTCAAGTAGGTGCCTCACCCTGCTTCACAGTTAGACTGGCCCTAAGCCCACACTTCGCAGTAAGCTAAAGGCAAGCAAGTATCAGGCCTGTAAGTTCAACTTTAAAAAGCCCTAGATCATCAAGAGCCACCAAGCAGAGCCCGGTGCAAAAGCATACATTTAGAATAAAAAAACCCAGGATGCCTACTGATATATTTGCAGCCAAGAAATCTCTTTTTCTAAAACCTAATGCACTCACAATCATTTTTCATTAGGGCTGGACAACTTGCATCTTTCCAACTGATTTGCCCTGCAACTCCTAGCGACCCCAGACACCACTGCCACTGCTTAGGAGGGTGGTAGGCCAAAATATCACACACCGCACACCCCTGGCTTACACATAAGAGTGGCAATGCTTCATTACTGCCCAAGCTTGCTTCATTTAGGGGCCAAAAGTAATTTGGGGCTGTTTTTGCTGTTAAGCAAGTGGGAATCAGAAATTCCAGCCAGGCTACTGCAGTAGATCCAGAATAAGCTTCTGTGCAGCCCTGCACCAGAGAATCTGCCAATATCAGCTGAGGGTGGCTGATGGGAATGAGGCAGCATCTGCCGCATCTCTGTCATGGCCTCTCTCATTTTGCTGTGTCCTGCAGATTTTTTATTTGGGGGGGGGGGGTGCAGTAGGGACAAGCATTCAGTTTGACCTTTTAGGGTCCTGTGCCTCTTTATCCAGAAGACTCACTGACATCACTGGGGTTACTTCTGAGTAAGACTGCGTGGTCAGTCTCCCTGATACCCTTCTTTTTCTCCACTCTGCCTGGGTTCCTTGATAACATCCATATGGATTTAGGGTATTCCTTGTAATGTTTGCAAAAGCGGACTTCCTCCAAATAATACCACAGAGTGGAGAGGCAAGGTAGCAATAAACAGACAAGTGACCACCAGTGATGTATGAGTTTTAAAATGTTTTAGATTTTAAAAATTTAAACTTAATTTTTTTAAAGTGTTCATAGAATTAAAATGCATATGAGTGTAAAAATTATAGCATGTGGAATGTTTTGGTACAAACCCTGACCTCAGCCACAAATAAGTATGTCCCAGCATCTCTTGTGCTGCCTTTCAGTGTGTGTGGCTGCCCATTACGCTGAGATCTTGGAGGGGAGGGTGGAGGGAGCGCTGAGGCCACGGCTTCCTGTGCATCTCCCCCTCCCCGCCCCCCACTAGACGGATGCTTTCCGCTGTCAAAAGGTGCAGTCCTGTGGCTCATGGCCTCAGTGCATGCACACCTTCAAAAGGAGGAATGCCAGTGGCAATCTCTCCTGTGCCTTGCGCCAAGAAATCTATCAAGACTGATGTTTTCGGCTTTGGATATAGTGCCAGGAGGAAGGGAGGGAGGGAGGGAGTCTGCTGGGATGCTAACAGGAACTAGCTTAAGTGCATGGTCCCAGCCTCCTCCCCTCCCTCCTCAGCCCTGCTGTGCCATTTATCCCCCAACTCAGTGCTGAGACTCCAAATAATCTTATAGGCTCCCAGGCAACATTGACTTTCAAATTGCACCTGAAATGTTTTGCCCCTTTGGCTTCTTTCACAAGGAAGAAACTGCCGGGCTTCTTCCAGGGCAGCGTTGCCTCGCTCCTCCCCTCTCGTGCCCTGGTGAGAAAGAATTGTGTTGGCAGCAAGTGAGGAGGAAAGGAGCTCCACCTTTGGAGCTGGGACTCCAGATTATACTCTGGCCATCTAGAAAGCACTGAGTGGCCATAGGATCACATTCTTCTAAGCTGAGCCCAGATCCATCAGGAACAAGGCCAAACCTATTTATTTGTAAAATTTTTATACTGCTAACTATCCGAAACAAATCCCTAAGTGGTTATAATATAAAAAATCAAAACCACATTTACAAATATTAATATTGAAACCACTTTTAAAATAAGTTAAACTATTCCAATTACACTACCATTAATATAATAGGAGGAATAGTCCAGTGGACCAGCAGAACTGATCTCATTCTAAGCCAGGGAAAGCCTAAGTGAGTGACACAGTTTGAAAGATGTGTCTTTTGAAAGATTTTTTTGGCCTCCCAAACTGTGCAAGGGAGCTCTTTCTCAAGGCAGAGCATGGATTAACAAAAAGCGCCTGCATTCCACATCTTTCATCTCATCCTTTCTACTGATGCCCAGTTTCACCTGATCACCATCTAGCATCTCTGACATCTTTCTTCTTGGGAAGTGCCATTTAGGTGTTAGCATGGAGGTCTTCAGTGAATTACCCTGCCAGTAAGTTTCTCCTGCGCAGAAAGCTGTCAAAAGCAAGCCCATATCAGACCAGTGCTCCCTACCCATTTTTTTTTGGGAAAGCTCTTCCCATTTCACCAGTTTAAGAGGAATTACATCCAAGTAAAATTATTTTATACATAGAACCTTTAACTGTATGCTCTTAACCCCACACAAGTAGGGCACTGCCTTGCCCAGCATTTATTGTCATACAGCAAGATGTCCTTTCAGTGTTATCAGAGAATTACAAACAACATTTGCTCTAGTGCCATTGTGACTGAGGATTTTTTCCTGGACTTCAGCATGGTGGAATAAAACAAATTTAAAATTGTACCTTCTTGTTAATTTGCTTCCAAACATTGATGTCTACTTTATCTTGTTACAATTTGGGTGTGTCTTTGTTGGGCATTTTCAAAAAATTCTAATTATTGTAACTCCTTTATCCATTTTAAATCAAAACAAAGAGAGGAGAAATTAATCAAAAATCAAAATCAAAGCTACATGTTTAAGATAGATTAAGTGGAGTTGCAATGGAGTTCTAATTACGGAACTAGGAAACGTTCTACAATAACTGGTGTAATCTGGATTCACAAATTAGGAATTTAAAATATTGCCCAATTATACGGAAATTCCTCTATAAATACCCTTAATGGTTGAAGGAACCTTCACTGTCCCCTGGACAAAGCAGCCGCCAAATCTCTCTGGCTTCTATTCTTGTATTGAGGCAGCTTTAAAAAAACAAAACAAAAACCAACCAGTGGGAGGAGATTAGTTCCCGGCTCCTAAAAGAATGAACTCAGCATTAAGTAAGTAGAACTCAGTCACTTGCCTTTTAGCACCGCCTAATCCAGTCGATAGCTGGTAAGTTTTACACTGGATTTTTTTTTTTTTTTTTGGGTATCTCCTGCTAATTTTAGAACGAGTGCACACCTGGATTTCTTTAGATATTAGGAGAAGAGCTCTATTTGCCCCTATGTCATGCTGAAAGTTTATTTCATAAATAGGTGGCGGGGAGCAGAAAGGTAGGCAGACGTTGCAAGGTAAAAAGGACGGTTTTTTTCTCCTTCTCCCAACTCGTTTCAAACTGAGCAACAAAAAACCGGCTTTGTCGCGCAAAGGATAGCAAAGTCGAGAGAACTATCGCTTTTGGATGCTTTTAAGGATAAGGAATCTTGGGCTTGTTCGTTCGTTTAATATTTCTCGGCAAGGTGCTAGTCCCTGTGCGTCTGAAGGGGTGGGTGGGGAAAACGTTCTTGGTTGTGAATTCCCACCTTTTTCTATACTTCATGGACACCGCGGGGCAGAAAGTAAAGTGTGCCCCTTCGGGGACCACCTATTGGATTTGATTTCTCAAAGCAAAGGGTTCAGGGGCGCTTTTTCAGCCCGATCCGGGGCGCGTCCATGCGGAAAGAAGCGCAGAGAAGTTTTCCCAGTCAGCCGGGAACTCAAGCTGACTTGCGCAAAGCAAGCCAAAGACGAGATAAACCAGCTAAGCTCTGGGGTGTATTGCCTCTATTTCCCCTGAAGGACCCGATGCAGGTCTACTTGGAGGCAAGCCTCACGGGGTCCAGCGAGGCTTGCGCCCGGGTGTTTCTGCCGATCGTTTCCGCGCGCTGCATCAAGACAAGAATTGCTACTGTGGAATGGCTTTGCTATGATTCATATAAACTAGTCGAACAGAAAGAAAAGCACTTTTTCCAGAATAACTGTAAATTTGCACAGGAAAAACGCAAGAAAAATGCATTCGTGCCAAATTACTGCATGGTATCGTTTGTGTTAATTTGTAAATATTTAAAATATAGCCATTTTTGTACCCCTGCTTTGGACGTTCTTTTGAAAGATCCAAAAAATGGAAGTGGGCCAGCCCCCTCCTCCCTTGATTTCTGACGGTTGATACCTACCTGCCCAGGTCTCGAAATGCCTTGGCTTTTTCACATACCTTCAGACCGGGTGTTCTGCCTTTGGAAAGTCTGTTTCCTTGTTGCCTGAAGGGGAAGCTACTGGAGGGGCACCTCGGCTTCTTCATCTACATGAGCCCAAGGGGTGGCGGGAGGCTGTCCAGTTTAAATGTGGGGGGGGAGGGATACGCCTGAGTCCCTCTTTCTTCCCTCCTGAGCACGGGAGTTTCGAATCCCTTTCCCACACATCCAAACCCAAGTTAATTCCACTAGATACTGGATCCTGACAGAAAAGGGCCATCCTCCAAACCAAGGTCTTTGTTACTGTTATGGGTTTGCCTCACTCCTGACTAGTGGCTTATTTATTTATTCATTAAATGTCTACCCCATCCATTAAACAAGATGACTCTCTGGGAGGCTTTAACCAGTAGCAAATCCATAGCTTCTCCATTATTTTTCGCTGTATTTCTATTCCATCCTATCATAAAGCTTCCTGGTGGTTTACACCAGCAATTAAAATACAAAAAGAACTGAAGATAAAAACAGTAAATCATGAACAATTTGAAAATTTAAAAACCAGATTTAAAACTGAGTTTCACAACTACAGTAGCATAACCTGGTGCATTAGCAAGATTGCTTCTTCCATTTTCTGTGTGAGTATTACAGGATCCACTATGTGAATCTCCAGCCTTCGCAGGGTTTCCTCTCTGCCTTTCTATATGTTCCTATATGTTTCATTACATAACACAAGGCAGCAGAGTCATATAGTGCAGAACAAAAAATGCATTAAGCTTCTGCAGAAATATTGGTGCTGCCTAGGAAAATACCAGACTTCTTCACTCTAAAAAAGGCCCCAAAAATGGTGGAAAACTCAGGAGAGGCTCTAGAGTGTGATAACATGGTGAAAAGTTCCCACAAACTTCTGTGAGTGAGGGACAACAACCACACAATAAATGTAAAGAAGCCCAGTGACTTATGCAGAAGTGCTCTCCAAAAAAACATCTAATATTTACCCCTGAAAAGATTGTGTGGCCGCTTTGTTTTAGAGAGTTAAATGTCTCCAGTCTTTACGCAGAAAAAAATGTTTTGGCTAGTGGACAACATAAGTGTTCTTCAAACTTGTAATTCCCGATCACCAGATGGAAAATTCTCTATTAAATATAATAGAGAAAAGACAATGACCTGAAAAGTTCTCTTGGGCGGGGGCAATCCATTCCTTTGCCGAGCTGGCCATCAGTCTCGTCTGTACACTATCTTGTCTCCTGCAACTTAGAATTATTTATTTGTTTTTCGATTTATACCCTGCCTTTTTCCTACAAAGGGCTCAAGGCAGCTTACATCTCCTCCTCCATCTTATCCCCACAACAACAACCCTGTGATGTAGTTTTGGCTGAGAGTCTGTGACTGGCCCAGTCGGCTCCATGGCCGAGCGGGGACTAGAACCCAGATCATCTGAGTCCCAGTTCCATGCTCTTAACCACGACACCACACTGGCTCTGTCTTTCTGTCTTTCAAGATTTAAATTACTGTCTTTCAAAATTCAGCTTTGGTTCAATATAGACCTTGAGGAATGTGACACAGGGCAACTGGATATTTAGAAGGGAGATTAGTACTTCTGATCACAATGGAAAGTGGTGATCCTTATGCAGAGTCAAATCTGGTGGGTCAGGACAGGGTGGAATCCAAAGAAGCAAGGCTGGAGAACCTCATTCAGCTGCCAGGCTGATTTCAATTTCAGAGAAGCAGCTGGGAGGTGCCTTCCAGTGGTAGGTGGAACAAAAGGAGAAGAGGTAGGGACAAAAATACAAAATATGCCTGGACATTATAATTTAAAGGTCTTATCACCAGCAATCAAGCCTTAAAGGCATTGATACTCACTAGGACAGAGTGCAGGGAAAGACTACAGGAGATCTCAGAAGGTCAGATTTGGCTCCCCAGACTTAAAGTTCTCCATCTCTAATGTAAAGGGAGGTGCTATAAGGTAACAGCCTGCAGCAAGGTAGCACTTATTAAAGTGGAAGTGGAAGTCTGACAAATTTGAGCCACAGGCTGCAAAAACTATAAATTTTCCATCAAAATCAGTATATCAGCTCTTAGTATAACTAATTCTGGATCCAGCTTGCACCTTGTAAAGCTTTCCCTTAAAAGGAAAAAAGAGAAATAACATAAAATAAACGTAATAATAAGTAGAACTTTCCTGCGGTTGCACCTAATAGTCAGCCAGCCAGCTGTTTTTAAAATTTTGGCTTGATTTTTTCCCCTTAAGGTCTCTGTTCTCCCTCTCCCTTCCCAGGTGGCATTCTTTCTCTGATCAGTGTTGCATTGTGGTCGAGATTGTGCTCAGCTGTACCCCTGGCAGAATTTTCTGGAGATCCGGGATTCCAGGAGTTTATCAGGAAAAACCGGGAATTTGTTTACAAGATAAAGAGTGATGTCACTGCACTGAAGAATCTTGTGGTGAGTTGCAGGCAAAGGAACAAATTGGAAGAGGAATGCTAGTGAGAAGGGTATATGATTTGTCTAGTGCGATTCTCAGGCTGCAGTTTATATACGCTTAGAATAAGCTTTCCTGAACTTGCTTCTGAGTTAAACGTGCTGTGCTGAAACTCCCCAAAGTGGCCATGGGAGAAGGAATCACTGTCTACTGCTTTCCTGGAAGCAGCTTGTCCTAGTGGTCAGTGCTGGCTGACCTGCTGGATCCCTTCAATATTACAAGGAATAAAATAGAATAAAATATATTTCTGGCAGGTGTGACATTCTCTGGACACCCAGCCTTCTGATTGTGGTGAAGCTTTAACTCTGTCTGACTTGCCCTTATTCCCATCAAAGTTAAGTTCAGGTTTTTTTTAAATGAAAGCATTTCTTTGTGCTGCCCTTCAATCTCCCAAATGCTTCAAGATATCTCACAGAGCCACAAAACACGTGAAAGTTGCTAAAATAACACAGCAGAGCACCAAAGTAATAAAAAGTGATGAACACAGCATCTAGATGACATGTTGAAAGCATTTGATGTTCTTCCAGTGTTGGGTGAGCCTCCACAGAAAAGATGTCTCCTATCCAGGCACAATAGGAAAGGAATTTTGAGTCACTACCTGCCTAACTCAAATGGCAGTGGGATTTGGAGAAGGACCTATGACTAATATGAAGGTGATTAGCAGGTCTTGAGATTTTGAAAGTGAGCACCAACATTTCAAAGTCTGCTTAATTGGACCAGTGTGCTGTTCAAGATTAAGCATGGACAGGTTATCTTTATTCAGGAGGGTCATAACTGACATGCTAGTCTCAGCTTAGGGATCAAAAAAGCCCCACAGTCCCACTCTATGATACAGTACTTAGATCTCTCAGCACACACATCTGATCCTGAGTTGCAGGGGTGGGGGGGAGTGTAATCACATCCAAAATTTATTGAGAATTTCCTCCCCAGGCAGAAGAAGCTCCTGTTAATACAGCAGCCATTCCTATTGGAATCAAGGTTCTGTTTTTGATCCCAGTTCCCATTCAGCACTTCTCTTGTAAGCTTAAGTGGACTAGAACCCTTTTCACCAGATAGATGCCAGGTGGATGTCCTGGTGAGATGGGCTCTGGTGCATAAATGCCAGAATACATTCTTGGTCTTTCTAGCACTACAAGACTCTTCAGGTTGAACCCAACTTGAGTTGTACTTGGCGAAGATTCACTGAAATCAGTAAGCCTCATTGATTTCAATGTCGTTACTCTTAGTATAACTCCATCTGAATCCCACCCTCTGTTTTTCTGTAGGAGACCAGTAAATACATCTGATCTTTAAAACATGTGAAGTAGATCTCAAATAATAAATGTCAGTTAGAGATAATTCTGATATAAGGCTGGTATTGGATAGACTAAGACTGAGAACCATCCCAAAAAACTCCAGTTACTGAAGTTATTCTGCCCTGACATAATAAGGAAGAAAACTATTATTGCCTAATATGTCATGGCCCTAACCTAAAATAACTCATCCCTTTAAAGCTGAAGCCTTGGATAAACAAAATAGTTGGCAAGACCTTCTGACCAGGGACTCCCTTGCCAGAATTTCTTATAAATTACTGCTTGTTCCTCCAAGACGTCTTAACCCCATACAGAGTGGGTCTTTCCTAGCAGTCAGTGAACTCAGTCCATTCCCTGTTCTGAATCTGGTCTCATATTTCCCAGCCTTGGCAAGGTTGTGCCAACCAACTCAGTGCCAAAAGAGGGAAGATGTGTTCGTCAGAGCTTTGCAAATTTGCTTGCGTCCTCCTTTGCTTCCTCTTGGTGTCCAGCTTGAGCAGATCTGTCAACTTAAAACAGTGCATTTTGTTCTGCTCCTACCCATGCTTAATTTAAACGCGAAGAACAACTACATTGCAGTGCAAGCCAATAGATGCTACTTATTTGCAGTCCTTGAACTATTAGCCTGGGCTATGTGGGTCATTCAGGGCAAGGTGCAGAGGCAATGGGTAAGTACAGGTACATTGTAATGCAGGAAGAGGTTGCGTAAGGAAATATTTATCCATGTGAGACTTAAAAATCTGACTTGTTTTGATGGAAGGGCTCTGCTCACAGAAGGGGCCTCTGCCTGATTTGGGGGATCTCCCTCTCACACCAGAGCTCCCCCCTGTTTCAGAAGCTGGAGAGGTGTTACGGCAGGAGCAAACGGGAAAGTTTGCTTCTGCTAGCGCTTTGGCACATGCCTTAATCCAGATTCAATTATTCATTGTCCTGGCTCTCCAAATTCAGGAGTCAGAAAGCTAAATCTTGAATCTGAGATAAATCACACTGCATCAACTTGCACTTTTTTCTTTCTTTTTTTTAGTATGGCATGGTTCAGATATTGGACATTAAGAAAGCAAGGATAGTACTAAACCAATGGGGAAAGTGTTGTTTCCCACCAGTTTTGGTGGCTTACATTAAGATTGCCCAACTTAAAGTAATGCTTCTTGTCATAAGGATTAGGAAATTAGTTTGCTTGTTAAGGAGTAGTGGATCTCAGTAAATTCTCCACCGGCAGCCATTACACATTTTTTGGTGCCCCTGAAGAGAGCTACTTCTCACAATCTCCCCTTTTACAGTTGTTTTCCAAACTATTCCATACACAGAACTCGGTCTCTTGGTCGACTCACCTATCAACCCCTTGTCCCTGTGAAGGGAGTTAAATAATTCTGTGGGTTGCAGGTGAGGGAATAGAATCTAGGAAGGGGAAAGGGTCTGCGTTAGCCGAAAAAGCTGTCCTGCTATCTCAGAGCTTGCCTAGCCATCTTCATACTAGCACAATGGTGTCTTAAAATAGTGGAAATATGCAATGTTGGGACGGGGGAGGGGATTTGTGAATTGCTGCTGAGGGGTGATAAGTAAAGTGCATATGCTGCACCAAGGATATTTGACTTAACATTTCCCCTCCTCTTCCGCACCTGCAGCACAAAGATTTCAAGCTTGGCAGTGATGATGAGCTGTCGATGGTACAGGGAATCTTGGGCATCAACCAAGTGGATCACTCTCACTGCCCGAAAAACCCCTGTGACACAGTGAGTAGCAGCCACAATCCGCTTATGCCAGAGGTGCCAAACTTCAGGTCCAGAGCCAGCTCTGCGATTCCGGGGGTAGCCATTCGCCCATAGCATGGTTTCCCCTAGCCAATGGGTTGCTGATTTCTCAGCTCATGCAACATTTTTTCTTGTCCTAAAAGGCTGAAAGGATTCTCCTGAGGCTTAGTTACTAAGAGCCCTGAGCTACAACCTGCTGCTACTTTCCTTCCCACCCCCATTTTTCTTTGGCCCTGCCTAAAGACCAACTCAAATATAAAATTTCTCCCCCAGACTGAAAGAGTGCAAAACTGCACTCCTGATTTGCACACGGAAATTATTTTTCCCCCCATTACTGCAAAGGTTTCAGGTATTGTTTTACAAGGTGAAAGACTCTTCAGCTACTAGTGTAGCAGCTGTTTTCAAATAGGACAGGTACAAGATGAAAAATCCACAGGAGAAAAGCAAGGCTAGGCTCAGTCCAGGGACCGCGTACACCTGCCGATTCCAGAGCCATGGCCTTTGGACCTGCAAACTACAGAAACTCTCTGGCCAGACTCTTCTCTTTTTCAGCTCCTTCCCAAGTTAAGTTTGATGCTCAGCATGCAGGAGAATGTGGCCTGAACATTATATTCAGTTGACCAGCCTTGCTCATTTGGCAGGTACCTTTTCGCTAAAAACATGTTGCTGGACTGGGAACCCAGTAGATCCAGGTCCTAATCCATGCTTGGCCATGGGGCTCACTGGGCAACTTGGGCCGGTCACTCTAAGTCTAAGCTACCTTGCAGGGTTTTGAGGACAAAATGAAGCTAGATACACTGCCCTGGGTTCCTCACAGGAGGAAGAGCGTGGGATATAAATGGAATGTTGTTACAACAACAACAACATACGCCAAACCCTAGAAAATGGAGGAGATCTCCCTCAGAAACAGCTGTGGTATTGCCAGTGGCCATTCTGGTTATTTTTCTCTATTGCTCATCATTTAAAACCTGCTTGTGGCCATGGGCTGAGGCAGCCACTCACTTGGTATGACAAGCCAGTCCTCCCCACCCACTGTCCTTTGGCAGGACCCCCTTGCCGTTGAAACAAACAGCATGTTTGGGGTGCTTTTAAAACTGCTCTGAGCTTCACCAGCCAAATCCCACTTGCCTCTCCACACAGAGGTCATTCACTCGCAAGTGTTCATACCACAGGGACAGCCACCCGTTTGCCACACAGGCCAAGAAATCACACTCGGCAGTTGTGAATCAGCTGCTTCCCTGATTTTGCAATCCTGCCTCAGCATTTTTTAAAGTTAAGCAATGAGTTAGCAAAATAAGGGGGAAAGAATTTGGATGGATTAAGTTAGGCATGTAAACAGCAGGGCTTTGTCATGAGATATGCCCAGATATGCCTGGTTCTGGTTAAAAACAAAACTGCTCCAGATTCATCTAGCACAAACAAATAAATTGTAGCCTCCCTATTTCCAAAGAGATAATTATGATTATTGGTCTTCTGACCCCCTTAAAGCATTGGTGAATTTAGGGAAATTTAGCTTTGATGGTTTGACAGTCAAGATCTAGTAAGGCAGCCCTGCAGCTTCTGGGAGCCCTCATTCTGGTCAGGGAGGGAGGCCCTTGACCTCTGCCCCAGTCTCCTGCTCTGATGACCCCAGTGCTTTAAAGAGTATTATGGGATACGCTTTTATGAGCCAGAGCCCACTGGATGCATTTGACGAAGCAAGCTCTGAAGTCTTGCTACACTGATCAACATTTTAGGTTGCTCAATTATAAACCTGCTTGTCAACTGGGAGCAACTTTTTAACTTTTAGGGAAGCTGACACAGTCATGACCCTTTAAAAAGTACTTCCACGAGTTGTCAGTGGTAGGATCCATTGCCCTAGTCAGGTGTTTGAGGGAACACCTGAAGACTTAACCTAAAGAGGGATGCACACACAACCCTTCCTCGCTTGCCTTCAGGCCACTGGTGTTCAGCGCTTCGGTCCAAAGGGAGCTTCTAAGTTGTCATGCTTGCCTGAATGATTCCTGCAATCATTAAAGCCCAATTTGAAACCATGGGCTGAATGAAGCAAGGTATGAAGTGGGGCCAGAGTTGGTAGGGACTTGCCCATCTCTCTCCACCCCCAGCCCTCACAGAGTTGCTTGGTCACTTGAAAGGGCTTCTCACAGGAGGTAGGCCCAGTGTAACATACACTCACTGGTTCTGAAGAACTAGTTTTACTCCTATGCATGTTTAATTAAATTTGTAAGGTAAAATCCTGGCTGTCAGTAAATTAAAACTACTCCCCCTTACTTTGAGATTTGTAAAAGATGTTGGAGCCATCTCCTCATTCCAGAGGCTAGCCATAAAAAGGGGTGGTGAACAAGACGCCGTGCTTGTTCAATATTGCCTCTTGTGTCTCTTGGCCCATTCCTAGGACTTGAATGAGCTCTGAGGCTGAGCCTTATTTTAAATTGTTTTTTGGGAATCTGGGAGGCCTTATTTCCAGGGTAAGTTCGACTATGCCATCAGCAGCATGGTATTGCAGTCTCTTGTACTCAGCTTCTCAAGAAGAGAGAAATATTGCAAAATAGTTAAATAAATGCAGCTGATAAGAACGAGGAAAGAAATTCCACTGTGTGCATTTTTCCCAGCAAATATTTCCTGACCCAGCTACTAACTGACAGACTATAATGTGGGTACAGGTCACTTGAGCAGAGCCCCGTGCTAATTCATGGATGCTGTAAAGTTTCTCTCTGTGTCATTAAAGGGCCTTGTCTCCTAAGGGCACCCCTATTTGTAAAAAGGGAAGTATGGAGAGGAGAACATTGATACCATAAAAAAGCTCACACCGAAAGATTATAGGGGCAGCTGGAGGGGAAGCACTTGCGGGCAAAAAGGAAGCTAACCCCGAGGGACCAGATGCAACAGCGATCAGCAGGGTGGTCTTATTTCAGCAAGTGCTCACGGATAACAGGGCGATGAGGCAGATCCAGCCAAAGAGTCAAACATAACACCTCTAGATGTCAGTCACCCACACCTTTCCCTCTTCTGTTGTATCTGTTTTTTATGAAATATTGTTTTGGCTACTTCTGAGGAAACGCCTTTCCTCACTCCATATGATCTCAATTCTTCAGTCATCATCTGTCAACTTGAGACCCAGTGTGGTGTAGTGGTTAAGAGCGTGGGACTGGGACTCAGACAATCTGGGTTCTAGTCCCCGCTCAGCCATGGAGCCAACTGGGTGACTTTGGGCCAGCCACAGACCCTCAGCCCAACCTACCTCACAGGGTTGTTGTGGGGACAAGATGGAGGAGGAGATGTAAGCTGCCTCGAGCCCTTTGTAGGAAAAAGGCAGGCTATAAATCAATCAATCAATCAATAAATATTTCTGGCCCATTCTCTGGCAGGAACAGAAGGGAAGCGGAGTTGTTCGTTGATTTTTGTTCTTCCCCATGTCTCCCAAACTCAGTTCCTTAATCCCAAATGGATGAGTCTCTTCCAATATTTCATCCTAGATCATCTGCTTGTCCCTTAACTCTGTCTAGTGTGTGCAACCCAACTTCAAAAAAACCCTGATTTCCAGCCTGAATAATCTCTCAACAGGAGAAGGCAATATAGGTGCCTGTGAGATCTAGCTAGAAAAAACCTCGAATCTTTCTTCCTTCCATTTTTAAAACTCTCTCTGTCTCTCTTTCTCTGCAGGAAGGCTGCTTCAACCAAATACAGACAGGCCTCCACACCTACCATGCCTACCTCTCTTACATTGCCCAGATCTTACCAAGTTATGCTGGCCAGGTGGCTGCTCTCCAGCTGGAAAACACAAACCTCTCCTCCAACATCCAACTGCAGGTGAGAAGCTGGCCTACAACTTGCTCACAGGAGGTGTAACTGTGGTGGAGAGAATCTGAATGGGGGGGCTGAAAGTCTGGAGAGAGCAATCTGGGGAGGGGCTTTTTCTTAAGGCATCTTGTTAAGAGCAGACTTAAGTATACCTATAAGACAGGAGTATACCTATGCCAAGTTACACGTGAGCATGTATTTCAAAATCACAAGAAACCTGTGGGTCAAAAAAACAGGATGCAAATGGAAAAGCAGAATAAAATAAATACTTCAGGCTTGGCTTGCCTTTGGTGGCAGCAATGCTAGCTGCAGTACTTTCCCCTAAAGGAGAAGTCCCATAAAGTTAATCTAGCATGAGGGTAAGAACAAAGTGCAACCAATTCCTTTGTATTCCAGCTCCCTCTCACTGCTAAAATAATCAGTGGGATCATTCCTTTTGTTTTCATATAACTTGATCATAGTGTCACCCAGTCAAAAGAGGTGCCAAATAATTTGATTCCAAAACAATCCATGAAGAAGTATTAAAAGAAAAAAGCCATTTCATGATTAATTTGGGTTAACAAATAAGGTTTGGCTGCAATCCTATGCCCTGTTTCCTTGCAATGCCCAGAATGGGGTGTGGCAGAGCAATCTATGCTGCTGCCACACCTTGAAACCGGTCTTTTATTTAGATAGGCATTTTCAGCCATCTAGATAGAGCTCCAGAGAGTCAAGGAAGCTGGGATGTTAAAAGGAATTCTGTGGCCCCAGCCTTTTCCCCTCCCTGCCTGCCCAGCATGTCCCCATTTTCCCCTTCCAGGTCCCAGTTCCTACTACTACTATTGCTATGCTATGCAATAGCTGAAGCTATCCATTACAACTTTGGGAGGCAACTGGCTAGATTCTTTCTGTACCAGCCACTACTGGGGTGCTTAGAGCTTTAATGGAACTCTCCATGGTGCCGAACGCCACCCCCAAAGTAGGTTGACCACCATAGAGTACCCTGGATAATTCCCATAAAGCTCAGAATAAAAACTGCATTGGAGTGATATAGAAACCATCAGCCTCTGCTGAATTTTATTATAGACAAATCAAATATCAAGGAAGATAGGACAGCCCTGCCTTCTGCCCAGCTCCAAACTGAAAGAGCAGGAAAGAATTCCTTTTATCAGCGCTGGTGACACAGGGAAGAGAGATAACAATCCCCCTGGGAAGCCTTTTTTTTTTTAAGGTCACAAACATAAACTACCAATAAACTCAGCATGGAATGAAATAATCACAACTGTCTATTCTTTTAGAATTCAAAGCAATCAGTTTTATTCTGAGGCTTAAAGTGTCTGTGCCTCTGGCAAACAAGTTCCTCTGGCAAACAAGTTCCTCTGGCAAACAAGTTGCTCTGGCAAACAAGTTCCAATTAATCAGAATGCACTCAAGAATATATCAGGAATGGCTATTAGCCAGAATTGCTGTTGATGTTTTACTATCCATATTGAATATGGACTTATAATTTGCTTAGTTGGTTGTCTCCTGGTTAAGGGATAACTGATGTAGTAGTCTTATATAAAAAAAAATCAAAAATCAAAATGCATCCTAGGCCATTTTAGAGGAAAGCTATTTGGCCTGGAATTTTCCCACTCCAACTTTCTTATTGTAATCAGTTGGGTAGCAAAGTGTTTCTTATTTAGCATTCCATCTGTTTATAGAAATGAATCAGTTTATTTATTTATTAACGATATTTATATCCCATCCTTTACAAAATGTCCCAGGATGGGTTTAGTCATACTTGAAGTAAACCAACTGAAATTGGAACTTAAGGTGAAATCACATTAATTAAAATCAGCCAATGTGTAAGGCTGAGTCCGGACCGACAATTGCCTTCCTTCCATAGAAACCTCGGTTCTCTACTGCCCAGTGGCTTCCTCTCCTGAGCTAAGATTCACAGATATATGATTTCATTTTCTTAGAATAGAAGACCAATATTTATTTATCAGTCTTCAAAGGTTCTGCGACCAAGTGATATGGTAGTTTGGGAAAGGGGTTAAGTTAAACCCTCCTTAGACTGCCATTATTAACATGCATTTCTTTTTTCTTTTCCTCCTGCACCTGCAACCTCAGATGGAAGAAAGTGGGATGTCTACTGTTACCTACCCACAAGCAGAAAACCAACTTTCCTTTCCAGAGACTCAGAGAGTGATGGGAAGCTATCTTGTCCTTCGTAATCTCCAGAAATTCATGGAAATGACTTTCCGGGCACTAAGACACTGTAGTGCATAGAAAGAAGAGCAGCATGGAAGATTCTCTGACAAGGATGTGCCCTGTGCCCCCTATGAGGGCATTAAGTTTGTCCTCTAAGATTACTGATGGAACTGTTTCAATACTTACTATTTATTTTTAATATTTTAGTATTTTAATGTTTTATATATTTTACATATTTATAAGGAATGCCTTGTTGAAAGTCACTTATAATAAAATCCTTAAAAGCATAGTAGTGGCATGTAATCTCCCCCTTCCCCAAAGAGCTGGATAAAAGTGACAGTTTTTTAATTTTGTGGTGCTGCCACAACAGGAAATATTTTGGATGAAACTCTTGTCACTTACTAATCTAGCGTCCCTAATCTCAGCCAAATGTGAATATGGAAGCTTACCCCCAAATTGTAAGCTTCCTCCAAATGCATATTGCCAACTTCCATTAACTTGGAGAAAAAGTTCAGTGCACAAAACCAAACTTCCTAGGATTTTCTGAAAGTGATGTCCATTTTGCAACTGGCTTCAGAGCCATTCTGCCCCCAACTTAGTTGACTCCAAGTTCTGATCCCCTTTCTCTGCCCCTTCACAGTCACCATAGGTATGGGTTCAGATGGTACTTTCAGCCCAGGGTAGCTACACAGCCATGATAAGCTTAAAGTATCTTGGGGAACCCAGCTGTGCCCACCAAAGAAGAGGCGGGAGATCTACAGAAGGCATCTCTCTTTCCTCTTCCTCTTCCAGTCCTCCCAGCACTGAGGGGAGCAGGGAGAACAGTTGCTGAAAGCAGCCATCCCCCTCCCTGCTCTTGCTGACAGTAGGAGAGCAGGATTGCTTGTTCTGGAAGGGGGAAAGTTTAGGGGTTGCTTAATGGAAGGCTCAGAAGCCCTGCCCAAGGCGGCCCATTCCTTCCTGCTGTTTCAGCAGCAGCAGTGGTAGCAATTTGAAGGTACCCCTGTTTATTATTGTTTTATTTATTATTGTATTATTATTTATTGGGCTTATTTGACCTTTACAACTTGGATTTTCTTTTGGAACAAGGTTATTTAATATTTATTCCACCAATGCTATCAGTATGCAGGTGTGATAGACAGTGGGGTCCCTCCAAGCATGCTACAAACACTTGTGCCCTTGTTCTGGGCACATATATTGCGATGTAAGCAAAGATACATTTCTGTTTAATACTGACATGCCAGAGTTCTGGCATGACCCAACTGCAGGGAGGTAAACAAGAGCGCTGGGCAGTTCCTGCCTCCAGAGATCTATTGGGCAGCCTCTTATCCATGATACAAATATGAAATGCTTAATGCAGAGCTGGATCCAGATTTAGTGGCACTTGAACGGGATTTAAGCAAGTCATGATTAACTTAAGTCCCACTGCTTTCCCTGGGTTGGCTTTAAGGATGACCAACTCTAGGTCGGTTCCAGCCCTCTGAATTCTGGTGTTCAGAGCCAGCTCAAGTCATGAGGAGGCCCTGGGCAAACAGCCCCTTTTTCTCTGTTGCAGGACCATGCCAAGTTTACACAGCCAGGGAGCAGGGCCTCCTCCATCCCGAATGAATGCTTGGAGCTTGCTGGCCACTTTCTCACGAGGGTTTCTTCTTACAGAGCTTTTCAAGTGAACAATTGTTTATATGTGAATAGGCAGGGATATTCTGTATCAAGGAGCTGCATTTTACACAAACTTGCAGAAATGACTGGGATATGTAATCTAAGTGAACAATTGAATCCAGATGGCTGTGCAGTGCAATCCCTGATATTGTGCTTCCTGGACTTGTGCTGAGGCAGAAAGTGTATGTTTTACAAATGGGACTGATTATGTATTACTGAAGAATCCTTCTTAGTTGAAATTGTTTAGCAATTGGCAAAGATTGCTTGTAAAGAGACTGTTATTACTTGATGTTGACATATTTTAATAATTACACACTATGTTTGTATATTACTGTCTCTATCTGCTTTTTGTGTGTTACTATGTCCACATGGGAACACATGCCTGGGAAAGTCCCTGAATAACCAGAGGGGAGGCAGGATGTGCGGCACGAGGGTGGCCATGTGTAGGGGGAGGCACGGCACGCAGATGGCAACAAGTCTGCTGGGGAAAAGAGGAGCTCAGGCACCGCACACCAGTTCCCCCTTCTGGCTCTTCCTCCAGTCCGCTGGTTCCCGGCTGCATTACCTGCTTGCCCTCAAGCCTTGTGTTGCTTCTACTGAATACCAGGTCAGCCCAAAGCAGAATTCCCCCAATTCACCACTGGTTTGTGCATGAAAGGGCTGACCTGGTGCGCGTGACTGAGACCTGAGTGAGGGAGCTGGGAAGGACTAGTCTGTCCCAGCTCTGCCCTTCTGGGTACCTTGACTGGAGGCTGTGGGAGGGGGGCTTGCTGGGATTCCTATCCCTGTCACCCTGTGTATTCAAGTGCTGACCCTGAAGGCTTGCACCCTGGATGAGGTACCAAAGACAAGTCAGGAACTGAAGTCACCTTGAATGATGGTGCTGTTGAACCTCAATATCCAGGCTAAGACTGACAAAACTGGGGTGGCACAGGACTTTATGGCTGCCATGACAACCATAGAGCGCTTTCAACATGTTATTGCCTAACACATGAAAGAAGATTCACTCCCGATTCTGCGTCTGTAACTGGGCAGAAGGATGGTGATCTGAAGGCTCACATCTATCGTACTGCATGGTTGGATTGCTTCCTCTTGTGGCTTGGACTCTCAGAGTCCTTTTCCTTTCACAAGGGTGGGGAAACCTATTAAAATAGTAGGCTCTCAGAGACTAGAGGATTTTAGAGGGATCTGGGAGAATTTTCCTGCTGGTATGGCCGGTGCTGCTGTTGAAGCCCTGGTCCCTCTGTGGTACCCTGAGGTGACTCAGGTAGACTCACAGTCAAGCAGATCCTGGGCAGCTGCTCGCTGTACACCTGAACCGAGAGCAATGAAGTAGGAAGAAAGATAGCTTGGATGCATGTGAAGGAAAACTTATGCCCTGCCTGACCAAACACAGGTTAGAGCTCAGTCTTCTGTGGCAACCGGGATGGCAAAGCGAGATTTCTTTTCCACCACCTTTGCATCTTCTCAGTGTCATCCAGCAGAGCTTCACCAAGGGAGAGAAATGGTGGGACACTCAGTAGTGCTCTGTAGGAAGGCCACACAGCATTTTGGAGATAATGTCTTTCAGAGCCATCATGAATTGGACACCACTATAAATGCAATTCCATTACGGAGTCGGGCAGCGCAGTGGCTGGTCCAGTTTTATAGGATGAGTTTCAACTGTTGAGGCCCAAAGGTGCAGGTCAGGTGCCTGGCCAAGTGTAGTTGACTACCTTGACCCTTGCCCTTTATGGCTTATTAATTCTAATATCAAGCTGGGCCCAAGAGGCCAAGAGCTCCTCATTCAGAGAGGGAATTGCCTCATCCTCCTTAAAGGAGACAACTTTTTAAACAGCCTATCCTGATCCTGGACGATGATACCTAGAGGCCACTAGCCAACACTCCCTTCGTAGGCAAGGTGCTTGAGCGGGCCGGTTGTCTCTAGGTAATCTTGAATGAGAGAGATTAGCTAGATCCATTTCAATCAGGCTTCAGCTGTGAGTTAGAAACAGAAACTGCCTTGGTAAACCTTGCTGGGAGAGGAGTGGGTAGTACATCCCTGTTCATTCTTCTGGACCTCTCAATGACTTTCAACACCATAAATGATGGTATCCTTCTAGACAGGCAGTCCGGCTTGGGATTTGGAGACATGGCACTGGTTTTGCTCCTACCTGGATAGCCTACCTGACAGCACTCTGTTTTATGCCCAGGCTGTTCAATACCTACATGAAACTACTGGGGGAGGTTATCTGGAAGTGTTAGCTAAAGCAGCATCAATATGCCAATGGCACCCAGCTCTATTCCTCCTTTTCAACAAATACAGATGAGGGCATGGCTGTTCTGAATCAGTGCCAAGGGTAATAGATTGGATGAGTGCCAAGAAATTGAGAATTACACTCCCCTAAAGGATCGGGTTCCCAGTTTGAAAGTGCTCTTGGATTGAGCATTGTCACTAGTGGTGAAGGTAGACTTGGTGAGATGGAGCTCTTGAGCTGATCTACCAACCACGTCCTTATCTGGACAGGGGAAGCCCAACAATAATTATCCATGTCCTCTTAGCCGGATTAACTGCAGTTCTTGTTTTATGCAAGGCTGCCATTGAACAAGGCCCAGAAACTTCAGTTGGTTTAAACTAGGGCAGCAAGGTTGCTAATACTGTAGTTTTAAGTGGCTAGATTTTATAATGCATTTTAAATTGCCTTTTTTGTTTTTATATTGTTGTGAAGAGTCCAGAGCTCACTATGAAGCAGTATAGAAAGGTAATAACCAATAGATAAATGAGATTTATTTTGAAGTAATCAATCCCATGTGTATCGAGTTTCACATTAATATATTCTTTGTTGTGAAGTTTGTTTTATAAAACTTTATAAAATCTGTGTTTTATAAACCATTTTAATTAATGTCAGGTGTAACATTTGAAACATTATACTGTTCTCTTATTCATTCTTGACTCTAATTGCCTAGGAGACTATCTCGTCTGACATTTTCCATATAAATCTGCCTGCATAATCGCTTGTTTATCCATTATATTTCCATATGGATGAGTCTGAAATAAATGGTTGTGCCTCAGCACTTGAATGTCCTGGTGCATCACCCATTTCACAGACAATAAGCTACCATTAGGGCAGAATATGGAAAAACAGAATGGTTTCCTCATAGGCAAAGGTGTCGAGCAAAGATATATTTTACCTCCCTGCCTGTTCAACCTGTACACAGAACATTTCATAAGGAAAGCTTAATTAGGAGCAGAGGAAGGAATGTAAGTGTAGGGATGTATTACTGAAGACCAAGGTCAAGATTGTCCAAACTATTGTATTCCCAGTCACAATGTATGGGTATGAAAGCTGGCCAGTGGAGAAAGCTGACAAGAAGAAAACTGATGTGATTAAAACATGGTACTACAGGGGAGCTTTGCAAATACCCTGAACTGACAGAAAAACCAACTACTGGGTCCTAGATCCAATCAAGCCAGAGCTTTCCCTAGAAGCAAAAATGACCAGATTGAGGCTCTCATACTTTGGGCACACCATGAGAAGACAAAACACACTGGAGAAGACAATTGCATTATGGAAAGTTGAAGACAGAAGGTCAATGGGAAGATCAAATAGGAGATGGGCTGAATCCATAAGAAGCCACAGCCTCGATATATTTTGTTGACAGGTGCAGGGTAATTGTAGATTTTAATCCACCAAGGCCAAGAGTTCTTCTGTTCAGAATTTGCACAAAACTCTGCTACCTTCAGATTCTTCTGCTACAAACTTCTGCAATAGAAGCCTGCTAGAAGGATATGAGCTGTTGCAATGGGCCAGCTGAGAAATATCTGGAAGCAGTTCAGCTGGATGATTTCATAACTTTTTCCTACATGCTGCTTATTCTTTGTGCTGAGTCATTATATGGATGGTTTATTTTTATTTATCAGGTTTCTATCCCACCTTTTTATTTTTTTTGAAGAACTCAAGGTGGCTTACATCTCACCCCCACAGCAATAACCTTGTGAGGAAGGTTGGGCTGAGAGTGTGTGTCTGGCCCAAAGTCACCCAGTTGGCTCCATGGCTGAGCGGGGACTAGAACCCAGATCGTCTGAGTCCCAGTCCCATGCTCTTAACCATGACACTACACTGGCTCTTTTTTGCATCAGATTAAGATACATTTAGACTCTAATTCACAACCAATGCCAATCCAATATTGGTTTTGTTTTTAATGTTGGTGCCTTTCTAGAAAATGGATTTCATTTATGATTATAGGTAATTACATGTCTCAGCTGCAACTGGTGGAAACAAAATTTGTCCTCTGCATTAAACATGCAGCATTGAAGTCTGCAAATGATCAAACTGAATTTAAGAGGCAACCCAATTACTTGAGTAAGCACTGAAGAACAAGAGCTGTGTAACTTACTGATGAGTTTGCTCTGGGAAGTCCCAAGCTGACCACAAGCTTAGGACAGCCACTCTGACTCATTTCCCTAATCTGCAATACAGAGCATGAATGGCTTGGCTAACAAGACTGTTACAATGCCTGTTGAGATAAGGCAGCCAACCATTTCATGGATGGCGCTGGGGCTGGATCCAACCCTTAATCACAGGACCCAGTGAAAAGGAATGCATGGCTACCTTAACTCCCATGACTGAAGTTGCAACTCTATACGCATCTTGGCAGCCATACCTTGCATTACGTTAAATGGGTCTTACTCCATAGTAAACGGCAGCAGCATTGCAGAGATATTCAGCAGGGCTCGAACTCAGTCTGCGTGGAGTTCTTGAAATATTTAAGTGCTACATTACTGAGTCATGAGCTTCTTTTTATTCTGTTTTACTTTATTTTATTTGCTTAATAGAGCTCCTTAAGATGAAATGGGAGACTGTGAACTCCCTGCCCTGTCCCTAGACTCCTAACGAACAAAGGGGAATGCACTAGAGGAATGTGGGGAGAACTAGGTGGAAAGGGAAAGAAGGCAGGGTCCCAGTGACTTTTAGCATTGCACCAGAGAGATTCTAAACCTGTCTAAATCCAAAGCAGGCTTGAGAAGGCCCTCAAATAAAAGGGTAAAGTGGCTTGAAAGGGGTGGGCGGGTGTCTCACATCAACTGGATATGAGGGGCTTTAGGGAGGCAGGCTCAGAATGGGAAGTGCAACACCAAAAGGACCTGCCTTGAGTGGAAAGAAGTGATGGAGAGGAGGAACAGCAAAGAGGTCACCTAGTTATTGGGGATTCAAGTAAGCAGGGTAGGCTCTAGCACTTACCACAATGTAGGCATCCCACTTTCTTCACGGTCCTGTTTTCTCTCCAGCTTATAGCAGTTCATACAATCTATAGTGTACTTAAGGCTAATTCTTTAGGTTGGGCCAT